GAGGCGAAGTAAAAAAAATAAGTTAAAATAAAGCATTTAAAAAAAAGAAACACGGGGAAATGTCCCGCAATGACGCACCGCGGCACGGCATCCCCAGCCACCTCTTGCGAAAAGAAGAAGCGGTGTGAGAGTCGCAGCAAACTCAAAGGGAGCCGCCCTCTGGGGAAGAAAAAAGAAAAAAAAGAAAAAGGAAGTAAAATTTCGTACGTTCCACACAACACACACACACACACGCCTGGGCCTCTCTGTTAAGAAACTATTGCCCACGAAGAAAAAGGCTTCTCGTCTTTGCCCCCTCACCAGGGAAAAGAACACGCACACACACACACACACTTCCAAAGAAAAAAAACGGCGTAGACGGAGACGTGTGTCACCTGCGAGGAGGCGAAAAAAGGTGGGTGGGGGCGACGCTCATCTTCGCCGCCGCTGTCGCCAGCAGCCCAAGAAGGAGGTCAGCACCACCCCACAGACGCACGAGCGTGCAAAGTCCCACCTTCGGTGCGGCACGCAAGCGACCCACGGCACCCGCGTGTCCTCCCAACATGCGAACCGCGTCGTACCGCCATGTCCGCGGAATAAAAAAAAAAGTAGAAACAAAAAAAAATTGGTGGGAAACGCGAGTTGGTCCATAATCGCCCCCCGTACGAGAAACCCCTCGGATCGCTCTGTGCCGCAGATATGCCGCAGCGAGGGGATCACCGTAGACGAAGAATGGGGGAATTTCCGCAGAGAGGCCCTCGAGCAGGGAACGTAACTTTTCACGTACAGCATTCCATCGGCCCCATCCCGCTCGCCGGTCGCAGCCGGCGCGTTGTACGTCATGCTGCTGTTATGCTGGCTACTCTTACTGCTGCCACCACTGCCGCCGGTGTCATCGGCATCGCGTAACGTCGCTTTCAGCATGCACCCCATTGCCCCCACTGCTAACGTTTTTTTTTAATTGTTTAGCTACGCGATAGCTCCGTGTCCGTCTCATTCCCAGGCGCCACGGCAAGCGCAAGCGGTCGCAACTCGCCCTGTGATTAAAGTATCGCGTGCGGCACCCAGCAGCTCCTGCTTCCAAAGCGACCGAAGCAGCGCCTCCTGTAACTCATCCCGTTGCCGGCCCAGTCGTGCCACAACTGCAGAACTATGATACGGGGAGTTAACTGTGACAAAAAAAAAAATTAGCCCCAGCAGGCCACTGAAGCCGGTGTTGCAGCGTACAAGGCTTCTGCATGGGCCTAACCCTGAGGAACATGAGCCCCGTTATGGACGTCCCCGCCCGTTCCTTTCCCAGCATATTGGCGGTTTCTCAGCACTTTCTCAGCTGCAACAGCTGTTGACGCATTTTCGTCATTGCATTCCTCCTCACCACACCCACCCATGCGCACTGCATCGGCAGTGTCCTCACGACTATACCCGCTATCACTGCCAGAAAGAGAATCTCTTGACGTTTCCTTGATCGTACGGTCAGGAGCCTTCTTTGAGGAAAAATCCCGCTGCAACGCGGATAACTTCGACACAGTGCCCCCCGAAGCACGTAGTCCCTCCACCTCATTCCCTGCTGGAGCGCACAGTTGATTTATACACTCGATCCCTGTTCTTATCGGCGAGGGAAGCGGATCGGTGGCAACGGTGAGTGTGCTGACTGACTCGAGGAAACTGCATGTGGACTCCACGGGGTCCAACTGTGAGCCTGAAAACATTGGTGAGACAAAGGGCGGCGTCGACTGTGTTTGCTCCAGGATTTCCGTCTCCAAGGCCGTTTGCTCAGAAATAGCCCGCCGCTGCTCCATCTCTTCCTGCACGAGTAGCGTCTGACACAACGCGTTTGGTGGCCCCTGCCGTGGCTCTGCCGGCTCTTGCACGTCCTCGCCAGGCACGGAAAGCGCAACTTCCTTGTCCACCTGACTGCGCCGAAGCGACGCCCTAACTTCATGAGGCGACGGTGTTGAAGCCCATATCGCTGAGGAGCCAGAGGGGTCAGAGTTAAGCGCATTTGTATTCGCGGATGTGGAGCACAATGTCGTGTGCCCCAATTCGTTTGAAGAAACCCCTCAATGTAGCGAAGCGGCAGGTTGTTCACGTAAGTGCTATCCAAATCCAACCCCTGCGGCGCAAACAACTCACCCACATGAATCCTCATGACACGCAGCCACTCTGCCAAGGCGCCAGGACCGAGCAAATGGTCTACCAGTGCAGAGATGGCCACAAGCTCCAGCGGCCGCGGGACGTCCACCGCAATTTGCAAAGTGGCACAAGGAAAGGAGCGAGGCTGCGCAGGCGATGAAGGCGGCGACAATGAAGATGGAGATGCAGCACAAATAGATCCATTTCGCATTCTTTCGGAATCGTGTTTGACCGTCACTGTGAGACCCACATTATCCAGTGTGCATAAGTCCATAAGTGCCTGGCCGATAATATCATCCCTTACAGCCAACACGACCTCGGGCGTGAGCAGCAGTTGACTGGGTACAACGAGGCCAAGCGGGTCTGGTACATGCGAAACAATATCCACGCGTGCCCGCTTCATAATCGGCCTCTGCGGTGCTGCCCTCTCTTGCTCCTGTTGCGGCGGCAGCTGCCGCTGCTGCTGCTTTGGAGCCCTTGCCGGTGACGGTGGCGAGCCCTTCCACGTATGCAGCTTAAATGGAATTGCAGCGGCCTCCTCGGCCGGTTGCAAGCTCGATGAGAGTGAACTTGAGCAGTATGTCTTTGCCTCCAGGAGAGACAAGTCGGGGGACGACGGCGACGCGGAGGGCTTTCGTTGCGACTGCAGCGGCAGAGCCTCGCCGCCGTCCCCCCGCTGCGGGGAAGGTGAGGAGAACGAGAACAAGAAAGACGGCCTCTGCAGCTGCTGGGAGCAACACCGCCGCTCTTTTTCTGATGGCGTTGCGGCGAATGCGCCCCACCGCGCCCCCTCATAGGAGGCGCGGATGTCGTGCCTTGACCCTCCCTGCAGCTGCATATGCCGGTAGGACGCCAGTGGCAAAAGCGGTGCGATCTCTGTGGGCATCGCAACGCCTGCCTCATCCGCTGGAGACCCCTTTAAGGCCACCAACGGCACCCCGTTTAGTGCAGAGCCTGCGGCGTGGACAGCAAGCATGCACGGGGGACGCATGTTCCGCCCAATGAAGGCCAGGGTGGCGGGGAAGGCGAAAGTCCGCCCAACGTAGGCGGCAAGCTGGGAGGTCGCCTCACTCACCGTCAGCCTTCCGCCGCGCTCGAGGGGCCACACGGCAACCCCCACGGTGAGTTGAAGAGGCGACGAGGCGTCGGCGGTGGGGGTCACCGCCGCGGTGGTGGTGTGGCGCCGCCCAATCGCGTCCTTCAGGTCCTCACGAATCACATGCAGCAGGGCACCGCGGAAGCTGTCACCGGCCACGGCGTCATCCACCTCGTCGAACGAAAGCCGCGTTGCCACGCCGCCCGCGCGGCGCAGCAAAGAGGGATGCAACGAAGCGGCCTCGCCGCCCCCATCACCAGCGGCGGCGACGGACGGACGGACGGACGCCGGCCCATCGCCGTACACCAGTCGCCGGTGGAGCAGCAGCATCAGGCGAATGACGCCGTCGCCGTCGCCCTTTTCGGCAGCAAGGCCCCTCGCGCCCCCGTCACCGCCGCCGCTCATCGGCCGTTCCCCGTCAGTTGCCCTCCGCCCCCCTTCGCTCCTCGACAGGCCTCGACAGTCTTTTTGCCCCGCCAACGCTTCTTCCTCGCAGAAGTGTGCGGAAGGTTGAGCTGCAGAAAACCAAAAGGCAAAAAAAAAAAAGTTGCGGGCGTCTACGCAACACCAAAGAAAGATGCCCCTGAACGGAGTTCATGTGAGAGAACAGCAAGCATTGATGCCGCAGCTGCACGGAGCACACACTTTACATCCGTCAAGACGACACAACAAGAAAAAAAAAAGACCGCAGAGGCAAAAGGCGGGGCGACCAAAGCACTGCGCAGCGGACGCCTACGCAGTGGCGAGCTGCCACACGAACGACTCCACATCCACAACCACAGCGGGGGAAGGCTTCAGCCGCACCAGCGAGTCGGCGTAAAGGTCGGACTGGTGCGTCATTCGGGTGTCTGTTCCCCTTCTTCGCTCCACAACAATCGTGCCCAGGCAGAGCTTGTACTTGACGTGCAGCGCACCGCCCTGCTCCGACCCCATCGTGGGCGGCAGCTCCAGCTTCAGCGCAACGTGTGTTCCCGGACGAACGTCCAGCATGAACGAGGACTCCAGTGGGCCCACAAAAAATCTCTCTCTCAACGCCTTGCACTGCGTCTCAACCACCTCCATCACCACGGCGTTCACAACACGCAGAGCCCCCAGACACCCACTTTCCAACCCGGTTTCAAGGCAGTTGGTGAGGTAGCGTACGGTGGCCTCGCTGTGCGCTGGTTGCACACGCAGCGCTCCGCCGTATGAAAGGGGCTGTTTATCCACCTCGCCGTCACACACGCACGGCGCTGAAGTTTGCCGCTGCAAGATTTCCGGTAGTGTTTGCGCGCGCAAGAGCCAATGCAACGACAACACGCGCCACTGTCCTCCTCCTCGCACGGAGTCCCATGTGACATCGAGTAGCAGGGATTGTCTGACTAATATTCTAATCACGCCCTCGCCAACAAAAGGAAATTCAAGCCATGGCTGCGTCCCCCCTTCATGCATTCCGTCGCACCGACACTGAAGCAAGACGCCGGCAGCATGCAAGGACTCTTGAAGGTGTCTGATTGAACTCCGAAGACCGGGCAGTTCCCGCAGCAGCTGGGCCTTTGCGTCCACGCGATAAAAAGCCGACAGCATCCTGCACTCGGCCTCCACGTTGAGCGCGGCAAACTCTCTCACGGCCGGGGCCACAAACGGCGGAAGCATGTCCTCGCCGCCTTTGATCGATAGTGTGGGCAACGGAGTCGCGCGCGGAAACAGGGCGGTGCGCGCGGTGTACAGCGCCAACCGCCGCTCTCGCTGCTCCTCCGCAAGGTGTGAGAAGACGCTTCGCTTTAAGGCCGCCTCCTGCCGGGACTCGCCCCCGGCGGTGTCGGCGTCGCGTCTGCGCTTCTCTACACGTCTGGAAACAACTTTCGTGTTGCGAGCAAAGAGGTCGAGCGCCGCCTCTGCCAGCGAGACGGGCCTGCCAATCGGCTGCAGACCAAACGAGGGGGCAGTAAGCTCCTGCGCAGCCGCACGGGCATCCGGAACTCCAGTGAGATCTCTTGACATCTGCCCCAACGCCTGCAGGGCAAACTGCGTGAGAGCCTTGGGCGAGCTTCGCAATATCGCCTCCGACGCCGCTGGGGAGGCCGGCGTCGGACGGCTCCTCTCGAAGTCCCGAAGAAGCTGCAAAACGGCCTGAATGCGTTCGGCGCGACTCGTCAGTTCCGTCAACTCCTCCTCGAACTCGTCAGAGACGTCCTGCGCGGCGTCGAGCGCCTGCAGTGTGTAGTCCTCCAGCAACTGCAGGAGGCACTGTGGAACCGCCTGTGTCATTCCTCACTGTCTTGCGTCTCTTAAGTCGCCAATCCGCACTCCCCCCTCTCTCTCACACACACGCAATCCCTCCCCGTCAGTTTCTTTTTTTTCGCACAAGCAAACCCCTTCGCGGTGGTCTTCGTCAACCCGCGAGAATAAAAGAACAAAAAAACAAACAACAACAACAACCTTCGCAGGGGGAGAGAGAAAGGGAGAGACGTGCGGTGAGTAGTGGTGGTTTGTCTCTCGAGTCTGGAGGGGCAAAAAATAAAAATAAAAATGCGCGTGCGGGCTCCAACGCACCCCCGTCAAGCAGCGGAGGCGGCAGCGGCAGCAACGCACGGCAACGAAGCGACAAAAAAACGGAAGAGCTCATCTGAAACGGCAATGAAAGGGAAGTGTTCCTCCCACGCGCCCAACAACAACAAGGCCCAGCCACACACACACACACACACGACAAGGCACACGGTAAATATCAAGCTGGAGGTCTCCGTAAACCAATACTGAAGTTAAAGGTGGGAAGAGAAGTAACAAATTAATACGTTTGCTCACGTAATTACATTTGTTAGTTTATTCTTTGAGGGAGAGGGATGTTTTTCTTCAGTCGCGTGCTGTGGCTGCTATCCATGTGGTGCTTATTCCCTCGCTCCAGCTATTGTGTACACGCACACACAAACTGAGCCACACACGCACATTAATAGACACAACAGAATACGGCAGATCATCCACACTTATCACATGCACTATGCCCTCTAACTCTACTCTAATTGCGGCAACTCGTACGGCGGGATGCTTCCTTTACACACAGAGGTACACCCCTGGCGAAGCCGGCGAGGCGCCATTTGGGATCCATGTGCCCGACGATGCATTGGCGCGGCGGACGGCGGTCGAGTAAGGAGTGGCCGAGACAGGCACCGTCGGCACCGTCCCTCCATGAAGATATGCGTTCACAATTCATCTCGCCCACCCCGCTGCCGTTGCCACTTGATCTCACTCCCGCCCAGCCGCAACTTCCCCCCGCCGCCACCGACGTCGATATTGAAGGGAAGGCGCAGCCGACTCGGTGGTACTCAACCCCCTCCCCTCCTCCCCTCCTCTCTTCCCTCTCTCCCTCTTCCCAGCAACGCCTAAGGAGGGCTACCAAATGCTTGAACGGCGGTTCGTGCTGCTGGACGGCCGTGGGAGATCCCCCTCTCTCCAGGCGGGGAAGCGCAGGTACTCGCACAGGCTCACAGGATGCAAGTTAGGCAAACGGCACTCACTCCAGAGGGAGTTGGGCGACGGCGCCAAAAGTGGTTGCATGTCAAGAACCTTGGAGCGGGTCTGCAGCTGCATTAAAGGCTGCATCAGCTGCTGGACAAGCTCCTGCATCTTCCGCTCCAACTGATGCTTTCGAAGAAGTTCTACAAACGTCACCCGCTTCATCTCCCACACCTCCACCTGATTTTCCACGGCGATGACGCTGAGCATCCAGGGGTGCCGGCGCACGCAGGTGTAGCCTATGATGCACTCACGTGGCACGACCGAAAGTTCCTTCTGCGAGGCGGTTGGGGGACAATTCACGAGACCCTCTGCAACCTTTTTTTCTTCCAACACGACAGCAGCACCCCCCTGTGAAAACAGCAACAGACGGTTGCATTCGCTGCCGCGGCGGACAATGTACTCCCCTGCCTCATACGAAGTCGTCTCCCAGTGAAGCGCGCACTCGGCGTAGAAGGCGTCTGTTGGCGAGCAGAGGTTTAACAGCGGAATCCTGCGTATCTGCTCAAGAAAGTGCGGCGAGACCCCAACGGCGCCGCAGTCCATTGGGGCCTTCGCACTGCCCACATCCAAGATCGAGGCGCAGAAAGCTGAGGTGCGCCTGGAACTAGCGGTGGTGATGTTAACACGCCGCTGAAACCACTTGGAGAGCTGTGCAGGACCCAGGAGAACAAGACCCAGCTTCTCCAGGGAAGCCGGGACAAACCGCATCCCCTCGTAATCGCTTTCCAGCACCAACGAGGCCGCCTTCGCAGAGGCGTAAATCGTCGTCCGTGCGTCCGGTTGCTGCTTCATAAACTGAATGAGCACAGAAAAGGGCAGCAAGTACAAGTCCACGTTGGTTAGCGCATAAAAGCTGTCCCCGAGCGCCTCGCGGAAAATGCATTGCCGCTCGCCGAACGTATGACCCTCCAAAAGGAGGCTTCGGCTCCTTGCTTGCGTGGGGGAGCCCACGTCTGCCACAAGGGCTTCCTCACCACGTACATGCACCACACCCCGCCGAATGAAAAAGATGTGCTTGGGGTTGTCAAGTTCACCAATTTGCATGCCGGCGGCTCGCATGCATGGGACGAGGTAATCCATGAGGTGCCGCAAACTATCGTCGCTAAGTTCCGTGAGTAGCGGGCAGAGCCGCATGCGACCAAAATTCATGGGGGCAAACCGCGGAATAAGTTTCTCACGGCTCTTAAGTGCCATCAGTAGAACCTGCTGCTGAATGGGCTTTGGAAACGCGCCGAGGACCTCGCAGTAGGCCTCCCTCGACAGGACGGCCGTCACAACAACTGGAGACTCCGCCACAAGGTGTTCCGTGCACGGGTATCCCCCCACTGTGGTGTTCTCCCCAAACACCGCAGGGGCGTCAATCGCATAGAACTTTGGGGGCGTGTCTACCTGGGGGATGCACACGCTACTGTGGCGCAAGCTGCGCGTGGAAGACCTACGACTCATTTGCGAGGCTTCCTCGAACGGTATCACGGCAATGGGTGCGGTGGAAGGCAGGGAATTTGGCCTCTCCAGCACGGACTTCCTCCTTGTCTTCACCGTCCACGCTCGCTTCTTCACGCTGCCGACGAGCAGCACGACCACGGCATTGCCCGGCTCCCCGGCGTACTGCACCATCTCCCCTTCGGCAAAGAGACGGTAGTCCGCCGAGGCAACGGCCCGCTCTACCGCCCCCGACGCCTGCGCCACCGCCTCGCCCACGCCTAGTGTCTGGGCGCACAGCACGGGCGCAGAAAGCTGTTCCAGGGCGAGCCTCATCGCCGCCGCCAGGTCCTCGCTGCGTCGCCACGACTCGAGGGCCCGCCTTCGGTGCAGAGCGGCCAATTGGCGCCGGAGAACAGGGTAAAATAGTCGTCGCAGGACGGCCAAGGCAATGCTCCTCATCTCCTCCACAATTGGGTCTGGAAAGAAGGCAAGCCGGTCCCCGGAAGGGAGAAAAGGCCCTTCCGTGGCCACCCGCATCGCCAAGGACGAAGAGAAAGAATAGCTGAGGTCCCCTTATCAGAGCACCAAGCTAACACCCGCGCGCAAATAAACAAGGAAAGAAAGCAGAGAAGCCGGATACCAAGATAAAACATATATGTATAAATGTGTATATATACATATCAAGCAAAAAGAGAAAAGGGACGTGCAGTTTCGCGGCGACTATGTGGCATGAGAAATGCGGTCAGAGGCAAACAAAAACAAGAAGAAAAATGGTCAGCATTAGACCGTATCACACCTCTCTCTCTCTCTCGCACACACACACAGAGACTCACTCACCGCCCAGTAGGCAGAGATGAGCAGATAGATAGATAGACAT